TAGCTGTACATTAAATACATGATCACTCTATGTCGGTAAACTTTTTAAGTCCATAATGAAGGTTGCTGAAACACTGAGAATTTCCAACATGTCTTAGTCATAAGATATGATATTGACTTAAGTGGGATGAATATCAGCTATCTCATTTAATTTTTTTATGGGAAAAATACATGCCATGTCCAGGATGAGTTTTTTTTTTATTAGTAGGGTGATATGCTTAAAATACTTATTAATTAGAAAAATACTGATATTGTGGCTAATACTTATATTCTGTATATAACATGTGATATGTTTTGGAAACTAATATTTTATAGAAAATTACTTAATCTTGGATTTTTGGTATTATGGCTTGTATTATCAGCCAGTGTATACTGTACAAAGATTTCTTTTGTTTATTGACAAAAACTATTGAGATATCTCTGATAATGCTGACTATTGATTATGTGTGTATGAGATTTTATATCTTTATATGTTCATGATCCCCCCACAACTCACTTAAATGTTACACACACGACACGACATCATGTTTTGTGTTAAAGTTCTGTGGCATAAAACTTTACAAAATACAGCCAAATGTTATTAGATTATGTCTTACATTGAAAATGAAATGGGAGATGTGTTTGTTATTACAATTGAACCTTGTGTTACATAGTGGGAAAAACCATGCTTGTGACATAAGGAAAGATTACATAAAGATATATTTTACTTTATCATTATTAAAGAAACCTAAGAAATAATTTTTTTCGAAGAAGGAGCTATTTAAATTGGCATTGCTGTATTTGTATTTATGTAAAGATGTCAAGAACTTAGCCAGTATTTAAAAGTAAGGTTAGACATCATATTTCCTTCTTGGGTTGGTCATTGAAAAAAACATTAGAGCTAATGTTTTGAAGCCTTTTACTGGCTAAGTTCTCACTTTTGATGTTTCAGGATGGACAGTGGAGATCTCCCTCACCCAAATTGGAAGGTTTTGGCAACAGCAAATCTGAAATGGAAAGTTTTTGTCCAAGCAAAACCTGAAGTCCAGTCTGAATCTAAAGAAGAAAAACGTATTGATAAAAGTTATATCAGTGGAGATGATGCTAAAAAGTTCTATGAAGGCTTACTAAAGGAAGATGCAGCTGCAAGCACAAGTAGAAATACTGATTCCTCTCAAACAGATTTTTTAGAAGAAGAATGCAGCTCCGAAGACGAAGAAGCAAATACAGAAGATAAAAAGTGCTGTCCCAAAAGCTTGCACAAAGCAATGAAGCATGCCCAGAATAACGAAGAAGAAAATTTACGACAGATGTTGGACAATGGTCTTAGTGTAAATGCAAAAGATGAGTACGGATGGTCATTACTCATGGTTGCTGCTTGTGGTGGTGCTAAAGCTGTTGTGAAAACTTTATTGGAAAGAAAGGCTAGAACTGGTACAAGAGATTCTAAAGGAAATACAGCAATCTACCTTGCAATGTTGAGGGGTCATCAGGGCATTGTGGATATGTTAATAAAGGCCAATAAGAGAAAAGATGAGGATTCTGGTGCTAATAAAGATATTGTTTCCAGTTCAAGTAACATAATAGAAAAATTTTATTGTGATATATGCAAAATAACAGTTGAAACTAGTACACGTCTTCAGCATGAAACATCAATTGTTCATCAGTTCAATCTTGGTTCAGGAAGTAATAAGACAATTTATGGAATTCCTGCAAGTAATAAAGGTTTTCAGATCCTTGTAAACCAAGGCTGGGACACAGAAAAAGGTCTTGGTCCTGATAGTTCTGGAGCCAAATTTCCAGTCAAAACAGCACTGAAGAATGATCGTAAAGGATTAGGAGCAGTTAATAAAACTTCACTGAGAGTTACACATTTTGGTCCTGGTGATGCAAGTGCAGTTCAGAGACATCACGCTAGCAATGAAAGGATAGAAAGGCAAAGAACAATTAGTCGAAGAGAAAGAAATCGCCTGAGAATGAAAGAAAAAAGAAGAGAGATAGACATAAGAAGAGCATTGAGTGAACCTGATTATTAAAGGTACTCTGCAAAATTCCATGAGTAATTTATGTATGCTACAGTATGCCTTCAGGAAGTACCTTATATACTTATTCACCAGATTTTTAAAAAGTAAAATAGCTGAATTAGATGTGATATTATTGTTTGTATTATTTATGGGAACTAATAATGAACTAGGCTTAACCAGAAGGGTATACCCTGTCCACCACTGCGATTTTAGCTTATTAATGCTATTGACATGGATGGCTCTAAAAGTGCTTAGTCATCAAGGAGTCACTTACTAGGCCTATTTAATCCCTCTTCCTTGTATATTCAGATGGTTTTTAAACATTAGTATTAATATTATTAATAAGATTATGATAGTGAGGATCATGATAATGATGCCAGTCCGTAAAAAATTTAAAATGACTACTAATTTTGATACTAAAGCTTTTTCACAAAAATTCAAGGAACAGGATAGATTTATGTGGTCCAGCAAGGCCTTGTTATTGTCTCCTTGGTGATCATGTGATTGGGAAGCATTCAGTGTGTAACAGAATTGACAAAAGACGACTTCTGTGGACAGTGCATTTACATGGTGCCAGTGGGTTAAAATGCCCTTTCCTTATGTCATTCACCATGTTTATTTGAATGGGAGATACATGAATATATGAAGATGGTGATGATTTATTTAATGTGATTTATATGTAACATCCATGCGTGTTAATTCTTTGTTTTTACTCATCTTAAATTTGTCTGTTGTATAAAAAAAAAATCCATTCTTTCTAATGAAATTTTAATAAATATAAAAAGAAGAAAAAAAGTATTTACAGATATTTTAAATTGCAATGGAGGTATACACATGTGTTATGATGTTAGTATCATTCATTTCTGGCAGGAATAATGGCAGTCTCCCCAGAGCGTATCCAGCAACAGTTAGAAGAAGTTGAAGCTGCAGCAGAGGATGTCATATCAGACCGACAGGAAATTGTCACGCTTGATCGCCGTCGTAATACTAACCGTGAAGCTCTGCGACAGTTGAAGACCAACAAAATAGCCAGTCAGTCCACAGGCAACAAGAGTTGGATTTGTGTTGGAAATATGTTCTTGAAGCTACCAAATACAGTTGTTGTAGACTGCATTGAAAAGGGTAAGTATATTTTTTCTTATGTATTAAAGAGAGAGGTACAAATATTGAGTTGAATAGATAGGCAACTTTGGTGGAGAGGTATAGAAGAAAGAAAAAGAGAAGGCTTTAAATTTTAGAAGAAAAAATAAACCATATCTGATTTCACAAAGTAACCATTTTCATTGCAGAACAAAAACAGTTGGATACCGAAATCAACAATCTTCGCAATGGTCTGAGAAGTAAAGTGAACCACTTGAATGATTTAGAAGCAAAGCAAAAAACGGTTGGAACGAACCTCAAGCCCTTATCGCAAGATGAATGGAAAGCTGTAAAACAAGTTCTTGGTAGATAAAAGTAGATGGTACAGTTCAGTGTGAGGAGGAATTCTTTCAGCTTGTTTTTAGACTGAAATTGTCAATATACAGGAAGGATTTCAAGTGAATGAATGTAATTGTTACTTTTTGATGGAATGTCCTTTGTAACTGTGCTCTTAATGTCTATGGTAATACCAGATGTGATATAATGTTATATAAAACTTATAAAAACTGTAGAAGCTCAAAAATCAAGTACAGTATTCTAAAGATAAAAGTAGATATTTTTAAACTCATAAAAGAAGTTTTATATGACATTGTTTCCATGTAAAATTATAATTAAAAAACACATGGAAAATAATATGTGTTATGAATGCCCAGCATCAAATATAGAAAAAAAATAGAAGTATTTACATCATCTTTATTCAGCACTGGCAAACAAATATATCTGTAAAATCATTGATGAATAATTATTATTGCTTTTATTTATTAGTAGTACCTATACTGTCATTATATTTTTTTTACTATAATTTTAGTTATTTCTCTAGAAGTATTATTGATTTATTATTATTGCATTTAATCTAGTTGGCAATAATTTGTCGTTTTTTTGTAGTTATAGGGCAATAATCTTAAACATAATATTTTAGTCATTATTAGATTTCAATATAAAATCCCCAGTCTACAAAATACATCAATTTCAAAACTTGCATAGATCAATTTTGATGATATAGTTGAGAATGGTTAATGGTTAAAACAAATAAATGAAAAATGCAACCAAAAGCCAGTGTTGTATATTGCCACAGAATGTATAGCATACTTGTATTTCTTATTATGAAAACAAATTATAAGTTTTTAGAGAGCTTTACAAGGTTTGGTGGAGAAATTTTGAGATGGAGAACTGTATGTTGAGGTGCCACTTCTAGTCACCCTAATAATTTCTTCTGATGTATATTTTTTTTTAGGTATAATCAGAGAAGACCTCTATTTTATGGTTTAATATTGTATGACATCATCATTTAGTATTATTTCATCCTTATTAACAAAGAGAGAGCGATTTCCTCTGATGACATTTTTGTAATTTCACCATGTGATGTTGAAGTTCTTGAAAGAATATAGGCTTTTATGCACCGGAATGGCCATTATTTGATAAGTACTGTTTTAAGTATTCAGTGCTTACATTCAGCCTGTTCTTACTGTATAAATTGAGTTAAGTATAGTTGATCTTGATTAATTACATGGTCTGGCACTAAAAGATGGTGCAACAGAAAAAAAATTATTAATGACTCAAAGAGGAATTATGAAGTGATATGACATTCTCAAAAAAAAGAAAAAGAAAGAAAGAAAGAACAAATCTGAACAATCTGAATGGTATGAGTTGAAGTTCAGGAAGGGCTGGAATAGTAAGTGATGCTAGAAAACATGAAGCACTCTTCAGTAGGGGGCTGGCACTTCAGCACAAGATTTGTTAGAATATATAGAACTGAACCAACATACATCGATGTAAGTAGGAAAAAATAATAGTTTGTGAGATAGTGAGTAATTGTGAGAATGTGAGAGAGAGAGATGAATGAGAGATTATGTGAGATGTGTTTGTGTGTGTGAATGAGTTGACTGAAGGATATGGCTAAATGAAACTAAGTTTGACTATGTAAACCTGATTTAATAAACAAACAAACAAAAAAAAAGTCACCGTATTGTCATGAATGATCATGAAGGTCATATTTACATGGCCCTTGTTTTTCAATTACTTCGAATTAAATTTTTCAATATTCATTCAAATTGTGTACAACAATTGAACAGCAAGAACAGCTGATAGTTCACTCAATAGGTGAGAAATGTTACACTTCATAGAACTGCAAGTATTTGGCATCTGGGTGATTATAAAGTCAGTCTTGACAACATAATTTTTGAGTCTCAATCCAGGAAATAATGTAAAACCAGCTAGATAAAATAAAGGGATTTTATACTTTCTTCCTCTTGCTACTTCTGCTACTGTTCAGATCTTCATCTGCTTTGCGTTTCTTGGACTTTGTTGGCTTCACAGCATCAGGGGTTTTGCCACTAGGCTTAGATGGGGACATTTCCTTCATCAAGTCATCCAACATCTCATCTAAATTAACTTCATTCTCTTCCCTTGGTTCTACTGCTCTATGCTTATTTTTCTTATGCTTCTTCTTTTCATCTTCAGACTTGGAATCAGAATTTAAAACAAATTTATCGACATCTTCGCTCTCTAGAGCTTGTTTATTCTTTCTTTTGGGCGTGGTATTGTAATCACTAGCCATTCTTTCATTCAGTAAATTACTAGATACATCCCTAAAGTCATTTTCTTCTGTATCCTTTTCTTCTACATCTATATCACTCAACTCCATTCTTTTCTTGTGCTTTTTCTTTCTCTTTTTTGTTTCTTTAGTTTCAGAATCACTTAATGACAATGTATTGGTGGCTTCTTCCTCATCTAAATTGTCTTGCTTCTTCTTTTTTCTCCTGGGTGTATCATTAGAGTTACTATTAATACTCTCATTTAACAAAGAGTCCAATAAGTCATTTTCTTCAACATCTACATCACTTGACTCAATTCTTTTCTTGTGCTTTTTCTTTTTCTTTTTGGTTTCTTTACTTTCCGAACCACTTAATGAGGATTTAATGGGGGTTTCTTCTTCATCTAACTTGTCTCCTTTCTTCTTTTTTCTTTTGGGTGTAGCATCAGAGTTACTAATACTACTCTCATTTAATAAGGAGTCAAGTATGTCATTCTCTTCAGTCTTCTCTTCTGGGTCAACTTCATCATCACTCTCTTGGTATTGCTTTTGCTTCTTTTTCTTTTTCTTTTTCTTTTCTACATCGTTTAATAAAAACACGTTAGAAGCTTCTCCATCTTCCTGGTTCCTTTTCCTCTTTTTCTTTTGGGATTCCTGAGTGCCATCTACTTCAGTTGCATCCTCCGAGTCATCCATTACAGTGTTATTCTGGTCATCACTGTCACTGCAGCTCACGTTTTTCTTCTTTTTCTTCTTCACTTCTGGTACAACATTTTCCTCATGATCATTACTACTGATTCCACTGTCGTCATCAAAAGTGACTTTCTTGTTAGCTTCGGCCTTCTGCTCCTCCTCCTCACGTCTGGCATCTACCAACTCTTGAACTCTGTAAAGTCAACAAGAAAAAAAAATATATATATATATAATTCTATTTTTTCTTAGTTGCTAGTCTCCTGAACAATTCTACCTAGTAGACGCCATGTTGTATTTTTTACTTTTCTCACCAATAATTTTTCATACCATGAAGCTGACATGTGATTATAAGTGGAAAAAAAGTAAAAAAAAATAATACTGAAAAAAGTTAATTATTTTAGTTTATGGCCACATGCTAATATAAACTATAATTATGAGTTTGTGAAAAACATTCTCTTAGATAACTCAACATAAAATATCAGCAAAATCAGCAATTAAAAAATTTTACTTCTACAGAGAAGACAGCAATGCCATTCCCTTTTTTTTCTTTTTTTCTTTTTTAATTACCATACACTGAGAAATGGCTATATCAAAGGACACTAGCAGCCACATTATTAAACAGTTAGAAACCTATTCAAAAACCCTAATGTGCTATGTAAGATTCGAAAACACTATTCCCCATTCGCCTAAACAAGCCTTCCAAACAACATGGGAAAAGTTGAGGGTTTAGCCAAGGTAGGGTGTGTGTAGCCTTATATTTTTCTCTTTATCTCCCTTCATAATTTCCTCAAGCCCGAATATTAGCAATTTAAACACAATTCTCTTTATCTACCCTCCACACAGAGAGCCTTGAGAATCAAAGATCCTGTTTTGCGTCCACCACCTGCAGGTCACGACAACGCCTGCCAAAAATATGTCATTATTCCCCCCAAAATCGCAGAACATCACTTTACTCCCAAGCTGCTGTTCTCTTCTTTAAATGCTTGTAGAAATAAATAACGAAAAATTGCCTCATCAGTTTTCACTTTTGCCCGATCGCAAAACATGAACTTTCGTTTTTGTGGCCTCAGAGCATTTGCAACATTATAAAAGTACATTCTCTTAAGGTCACAGGCACTATCTATTGAACTACAACTATTTTTTTTTTATATAGGCAGACTGCCTTCCTGGCATCTACAAGTTGGATGTAAACCACCATAAGCAGATTTTTTATATTCATTTATTAATTTATTTTTCAAAATTTCTAACCATTCATTTAGAGTTTTTGATTAATGCTTCCTTGTTATTGTAATGTATACATGTCACATTAATCTATCGAAACAATTAAAATTTTTCTTGTATATAATTTTTTCAGAGTCATTTACATACGGAATGATAACAACTAAAACTAAACTATTGAAAGATTGCATAATCTTTACAGTATGTAATATATTTTGGCTATGAATTTTGCCAGGAATGCCAACTGCAAAGAGAGAGGTAAAGGTAGTTTCAGAATATCCAAAGTTCCAATTTCCTTTAGAAAGGGTAGCACTTAAAGCTTGAGTTTAGGAATCCTTTCAGAAATTTAAATTACTGCATCCTGGGCTGTTAGCCCAGGATGCAGTTATTTCAAGATTAGAAAATTTAGTTGATTATAAATGAATATTTCAGGTATATTAAACTTTTTTATATTCACACATTATGATAAAAACATTCATGGTAAATTATAATTAAAATAACAAACTAACCTGTCTGGGTCCAATTCACCTTTGATGTACGGAATGTAGGTGGTCACGTTTAGATCTGTAATGGTAAGTTTTACAACGTCTCCTTCCTGCACACAAGTGCCACACCAATTCTCCACTGCCTCTTCCTGTGGTCTGGGGACTGACACATTGAACATTCCATGAACAAGGCAACCCACATGATTTATTGACTTCTTTTTCACAGTAGCTGAAAATCAATAAAAGGATACATTAAAATAATTAATAAAAGGATACATTAAAAATAAAGCACATTCTTGAAACTTGTGAAAGGTAAACTATCACTGACCAAAAGTTCTTGGGGATTGTACATATTTCATGACTATGAAATCCCCTTTGAATATCTTGTATATGTACAATGTATACAAATAACTAACCTTCTAATATGTTGCCAATTTGGGGAGTAAAGACATAGAACATAGCTCGAACTACAACATGATGGAAAGGATTTGTATCAAACAACCATCCATTGCTCGAAACCAACTGTATCTTCTCATAAGCCATGGGTATTCCCTTTAATCTGAAATGAAAACAGAAACTTGTACAGAACAATTCTTTTTCTTTGCAACATCCACACATGCAAAGCCATACAGAAGGAATGAAGGGCTTTGTTAATAGACAAAGAAACAACATCTAGTCCTGAAGTGTAACAATGACTGTTACAGATAGAAAACAGGTTATTGATGAGCAATGCAATACAGGGTGTGTAAAGGCAGTCCTTACAGTATCATTCATATCTAGGCCAAACTAAGTTTTTAACCCATTATGCAGAGATGGTTAGGTATAGACACCTTGTTCCTTGCGATTTTGGTTTATCAACTGTTCACATAAAGATGGCTCCAAAAGTGCTTAGTCACCAAGGAGTCAATTATTATATAATCCAACCTATCTCACCTGTTTCCCTTTTCCTTGATTTTTGCAGATTCTTTCTTATATTGCTATCAGTATTTTAATTATGTTAAAATAATTATATTGTCAATAATAATAAAGACATTATTGATTTCAATAGCACTGGAAAGAAAGAAAGAAAGAAAAAAACAAACAAATTCAAGGTACAAACTGACCCCTTGATGGACCCATTTGTGTGTACTAAAATTCACAAAAACGAACAGTTCATGTAGCTACAGCTAATGAATTAACAGCAATTTAAATGTCATTATCTTTCCTGGTGCCTGGTATGCATCCAAGGGAAAGGAGGTACATAATATTTCCGTTAGTTGTGCACATGAAGCTCCTCTCACAACTATTCTTTATTTTAGGCATATTTTGTATTTGATAAAACAAATTTGATTTTATTTTATGTTTGCTTACATGAGTATTGATAGCTTTAGTAAATAATTTCACAGACAATTAAGTTAAAAGTGACTGACATTTCATTTCATTGTAATGAGAATTCCTAACATGTGCTATATCTGCCTTACATCACTATCACCCTTCTGCTTTTCTCTCTATTTATTTGATCTTTATCTGTCCACATTATTTTTTGACATGTCTTTCAAATCTGCTCTTAATCAAAGTAATTAAGAGTAGATTAATTAAGAATTCTACCTTTTCTTGCCAATAAACATTTTGAATGCGGGGACACTGTTTTCAGTTTCACCTTGTTTTTGTTGACATCTTTATAGAATTGTTAGGCTGCATCTAACAACACATCCTCTTTCACATTCCATGCTGTTTATTTGACAATTTCTTTTCAACTAACATTTTCTATATTAACTCTCTCCTTCCTCCTGTACTTTATGATAACAATATAGAAAAGTAACATGGTGGTGGGTATGGTGACATAATACATTACTATATAGTGCACCACATAATAAAAAAAATACTGACATCCCTATTAATACTACCAAAGGTAAATAATGAAGTGAAAAAGTAATGTAATGATGAATAAAATCTATTGCACTTATGAAATTTATCATTTAATCATTAACAGCATTAACAGCATTTTAACAGGTATACAGACTAAATGAATACGAGTACTTACCACATGCATTGGATTTTTTACAACATTATTTACTCCAAATCTGAGTACAAACATTTAGATGTGTTTTACCAAGTGTGGATTGGGGAAAATAAACTCTTGGTTTAGGCAATTACTCTGAACTGGGTAGATTTTGGATAATTATGGTAATAAAAATTAATTTCAGAATTACCCTAATGATTTAAAAATATATTTCTCAAGAAATTAATAGTCTTATCTAGCAGACCCACACCTGAGGGGGTGCACAGCAGCTCTGAATCACTTCAGTCCTCTATCTCTCTCTATCTTTCCCCCAAAATTATTTTATTGTTCATTATAAAATTCTGAAAAACTCACAACCTATTTTTTTTCTTCAATTATTGTAAAATAATGCTTTTAACCTATACTTCAAAGAAACAATCACTTCTATAAGTTCTGGACAGCAAAAACATCAAATGAAGAAAAGCAATTAGGGGAGGTATAATAGCAAGCAACAAATTTTGCAATCCTGGAATGCAGTCCACCCATGCCTATAGAGAGTCTTTTATTACTGGGTTAATAGAGTTTGTGGTTGTCCAGGCATGGAGCACCCAATAAGGAAATATGGCAATCAAATTGGGGGCTGGGCTAAGAGGGATTTTGGTTCATATGGCACAGTGTGTGGATTTCCCTGGAATGGCTGGGGAAATGGACTTAACCTCCGAGGGGTAAGGTCAATTTGTAAACATTACCAATACTGTTGGCAATGCTTATTAAGGCGGCCGCACTACGTATACAGAGGAAAGCATAATAGAATTATTGACTAGTGCTTGTACATGTCTGCATAGTTAATAAAACTGTGAGGACCTCACAAGTTGTGCTTTACTTGAAATTCAAAGGTTGCCTCTATAAGAGAAAAAAACAAACCTCGTTATCTTAACCATCTCGGATGTAAACAATACAGTGAGCTTTCTGAAAAGTTCATAGATGTTGCTGTGTATCCCCAATAAATTTGTATCAAGTTCAAAAAACATTTGATTATACTATTCTTACATTTCTAGGATTCATTATGTTCACAATATTTATCTATCTATGTATCATTTAAGATAAATGATAATGTACAATATCTTAGGTTATTAATCAGTTAATGTCATGAACCTATCATTACTGATTCGACTGCCATTTTTGAGTACACTTTTCATTTCAACCCTAATGACCTTCGTGCAAACAAGTGAGAATGATATTGTGCACCGGCTGCGACTATGGTATGGTGATTTTTTTACTGAAATTTGTTGGAATTACTGAAAACAATTTGGATTATGTATGTGCTCATGGTGCTATACTGAAAACATTTAATTGTCCCATTTGCAGCAGTGAATGCAAGGTACACTATAGGAGAAAAGACTGCTGTGATAAATCTTGCGCTAAGGGTCATATGAAATGATGCTGGTGTGATTCAGTCTAAACAATTTTTAATGAAACCTAATTTGACAAATCGAAAGTAGACGTGGAAACAGACTCATGGTTTTGTAAATATTTCTGTGAAGAGGATTTTCATACAAACTAATTAGAAGTGATAATGCCATAAATGATTTGTTCAGTTTCTTTAGTGAAGTGTTTGTCTCTTGGTGCATGAATATTTGTGCATTGATAGGGTGGCCAGGAAAACTGTGGACGTTGACATAAGTAAATTTGGAAAGAGAAAGTATAATGTAGGACGAGTGATAGAGGGCCTGTGGGTGTTTGGTGAATTTTGCTGAGAAACGAAAGACCTTTTTTTCATACCCATTGAAAAAAGACTATGTGCAACACGGAACAACTATGATTTCACACTGTTCTGAACGAAGATGGCTTCAATCATCTCAAAGTGAATCACTCATGTAATTTTGTTGATCCCAAAACTGGCGCTCATACCAATTACATAAAGAAAAAAGTAGAGGGACGCAAAATGCACAGTCCCTCAATGTGGCCGCTGGAAAGCGCATTTTGTTGGGCACATATAGGTTAGGAAGATATGCTTCATTTGTGTGGCGATCTTTAGGAAATTTCATGAGGATTTTGGACAACACTGACACTGGTGCGGCGCATCTTGCAACGGCAAAACAAAAGTTTACATATTTATCAACTATTTTAATCTTAATTGTGTTATTTCTCCTTTCTTTTCTGATTTTTTATTTTTTTTTATACGAAGTTTGGCTCAGGAACTTCACTTTTAATCTGAAGTTAGACTTGATATTTCATTTCTCCAATTCTTTTTTTTTTTTTTTTTTTTTTTTTTTTTTTTTTTTTTTTTTTTTTTTTTTTTTTTTTTTTTTTTTACGAAGTTTGGCTCAGGAACTTCACTTTTACACTTTCTTTCAATTCTTTATTACGAAGTTTGGTTCAGGTTTTTCATTTTTACAGTTTCACTATCTTCTTACAAAGTTTTGCTAAATTTTTCATTTTAGCACTTTCCTTTCCTTTTTTCATCCTGACTCTCATTCGGATTCCCCCCCCCCAAAAAAAAAAAAAAAAAAAAATTCACTTTCTATTCTATTATTTCTCCTGTAACCCCCCCCCCCCTTCAACCTCTGATTCCCCAAGATTGAAGGGGGTAGCAGCAGCAGCAGGAGGAGAGATGAGAAGAAGAAGAAGAAGAAGAGAGAAGAGAGAGAGAGAGAGAAGAGAGAGAGAGAGAGAGAGAGAGAGAGAAGAGAGAGAGAGAGAGAGAGAGAGAGAGAGAGAGAGAGAGAGAGAGAGAGAGAGAGAGAGAGAGAGAGAGAGAGAGAGAGAGAGAGAGAGAGAGAGAGAGAGAGAGAGAGAGAGAGCAGCTGTATTACTTAGAATTATCATACTTTCATTTACATAATTCAGGATGGAAAATAACAAGAGATTTAGGCATATTGCAACATTGTTAATTGAATAAATTGAATTGAATTGAATAATTGCAAGACTGGATGGCTGCGTGAAACTAAAATATCTAAGGTAAAATTATCATGGATGTGGTATGTCAGAAAAGCCCTGGGGCCGGATACTCAAAACAGTCTTAAACTTAAGGCATGCTGAAGGCCTTAACTGTCCTGTGGCGACTTAAGTTACAGCCTGTCTTGGGCTCCATATCTCAGACCCTGCCTTAAATCCTGCAGCACCTTAAATCACATAAGGCGTCGGATCTTCAGTGGCTAATAACAGCTGTTGTTTTAGGTGGCTTTTAGGGAATCTTGACCAACCACAAGCTGTAAATACCAATCAGCTGATTTTGTAAACATAATACTGTGTCCAGCTGTGGCATGATGGGACTTTTTTATTAAAATGTTCCAGAATAAGTAACAAAGAAGTATGCAAGATTCCCTACAAAAAGGAGTACCTTATTAAGGAACTGCATGAATACCATGAAATTAGATTAAAGCAAGTCTTTGCTTGAAAGAACGGCTAATATTACAAGAGAAATTTTCATACCAATTACCAGCTATACAAATAATACTTGGAATAAGTTTTAAAGGCTTAACTATATACGTAAAGTAATCTCCTTTTTCTCTGAATCATTATGATGTCCACTCACCCACAAATAAAGTTAATAATGTAAATACTGACATTAACATTAATAACAAAAAAAAAAAAAAAAAAAAAAACCAATAAATCTGAGGTCGAAGTTAGTACTGTTTACAGATACAACACCTAACCTAACCTATCGGGAAAAGCAAATCTCGGTTATAATGGAATATTACACTTAATGCCTTATCTACTAGCCCACGATTGGTTCAAATACACCTAATAACACTATAATTGGGCAAAACACATATTGTAATGTATTAATTGTATGGTGCCTTAACTTGTACCAATATAGCGGGTCCCTTGCTCTGTGTAGGGGTCATAGGAACATTCAACAGTAAGCTAAGGCGCCTTAAGGAGATACAGCACTTTTATGCATTTGATTATCTGGCCCCTGGTCTCCTACACATCCATGGTGAAACGAACACAATGGCGAGGTCTTGACATGAAATGATACCCCTCTAAATTAGGCAAGATTAGGCTTAGGTTAAGCCTAGTTTGGTTTGGTTAGGTTAACCCACTAATGACAGGTGTCCCACATACGAGATACCCAAAAAAATAAACATTGCCGGGCGTCCCGCCAGTGTGACACTGCTCCGATGCAGCAGCAGAGTCCGGGCCAGCCCCGCGTGCCGATTTCGTAGCCGCCTGAAATCTTTTATTTTCAGCTTTAAAATATACCCGCTGTAATGGGTTAAGTTTGGTTAGGTAAGGTTAGGTAAGTTTAGGCTAGGCTTAGGTAAGGTAATATTAAATGTGAAAGGTAAAGTTAAGTGAGGTTAGGTAAAGATAGGTTAGGTTCGTACTTATTACCTGGAAATGACATTTACATGCGCATAAGCACATGTACCGCACGCTTAACTGCGAGATATCAGATAAAGCTGCCATACGCATAGCCTCGGCTAATTATTTAAGATATTTAACATATAATCAATGTAACAGAGAATATTTCATAAAATGGTCAATTTGGATAACAGGCTAGTGGCTTACTTTCAAAACTATTTTGATAATCATTTGCAGGAAATCCACTGATTTCAATGATTCTTGGAGTTGTTTCATGTGCAAATGATTTGTTGTGGAGATCTGAGTACCATTTCCAACAACAATCTTGATTTGTAAGTCCCAATAGCAAGGGAAGGCATGAAGTTTATCAGGGAAGTTATGAGGTAAAACAGGCTTAAATAAGAATAGCAAACAAAATGTGTAAAACTAACACAAAAAATGCAAAAAAAAAAACAGCCAATGAAACTTTACAGACATGCCCACCACCTTTGAAAGTCTACACACCGACGTGCCAAAACATCTTTCGGTAAAACCTATGGGATTTCATGCCTTCCTAACCCACCCAAAAAAACTTTTTAAACCATAACCCAAGCTAACCTAAAAATTTGTTACCTTGATATATCGAATCATCAAAAAC